AGTGTACAGGAAGAGATGTTTTCAATGTGTCATGATCAAAAACAGTTTTTACTCTTTATGGGAAATTAATTCAAATAGAATCTCGTAAGTATTACGCTACTTTTACTTCTTCAAGTGTTGTAATTAGTACTTTAATGACGCAGGGGAAACTGGAGATAACTAGTATCGTAAGTTTACGTGTTCTTCATGAAGGAGAATGCGACGGTAAAACTCTTGTTGTGAGGTTGTCCACGTTTGGTGGACGACGAGTAAATTGAGAGAGACACATGCACACTTCAAAAACTATTACCAATTTACTTCCGCTTGCCGCCCTAAATATTTGATGTCGTAGATACTTGAGCTATCGACTTATTTAGGACGACGTCCTAGTCCCAGTCCTCTGCTTAGCCCTAACGTCCTAGCTAACGTCGACGTCATAGATCTTAAGCTATCTATTATTACCTTCATGTAAAAACTCCAAATGATGTTATTAGCCAATCAGAAACCATGAATTATTTTAAATAAATAACAATACAGTTGTATACTCAATATTAATTACAACTTTCTAAAAATAGGAACTATGATAGGGACTGTATGGGGTTTTGCATTTAACCGGCGACGTGCTAGCAGTTAATTTCCCGCTTATCTAAAAATGTAGAGTGTTCCACGTTGAAAACTGTTTTGGAAGGTTACTGATTTTGTTTTAGCAATCTGAACCAGGAACCCACGTAGAATTATACGTATTCGTTACATTTACACGAGTTTCGGGGGTGAATGAATGAAAGTGAGAACCATATTAGTTAAATCTTACTGATCTTATCAATGTAAGCTTCTCAAAAGAACCACAATCTGCTGTCCAGTCACGTTTACTGAAGCCCGCCATTAGGAAAACTTCAGTGAGTGAGTCAATGGAATTATTCGACGCATGGAGAGCATATATATTCTAGATCTCAGATCTATGATTTTTGTAATGTATTCTAATATTGTATTTGAGTAAAACGTAGCCACAGAAAGCCCGCCGTCGAATAGGATTCGCCCAGTGAACTCTAATATGTAAACTGGAACGATAACTTCTATGATAAAGTCTATGATTCTCTGAAGCCAAAATAACTTTTCTGAGTTTTGGGCTGAAATATACACGTGATCCCAAACGGGCTATATATCTAGCTGAAGCTATTGAAAATTGCTATTTGGTGTGGAAATTTCAAGACATCAGCCAAAAGAAAAATGTTTTAAAAGTACAAAAACAACTGCCATTTGGCCATAAAATGGCAAATTATCGGCAATTATTTTTGTAGTTTTTAAATAGTTCCCTTTCAGTTAAAGTCTTGAAATTTCTATACCAAATAGCGTTTTTCAATAGCTTCAGCTTCATATACAGCACAACGTTCAGTGTTAAGTATTTCTGCTCAAAACTCAGAAAAACTAAAATATTACTGGATTTGCCCACTTGCGTCAGTTATACAAGCTAGATACTTGTGTTTTCGATTACTTCAGAACAATGTATCTAAAAACATGTTCAACTCGTAGTAAAAGTAGGATTCGACTCTACAGTACGAGCTAGGCTAAAGTTCAAATTAAAGTGCACTTTTCTTTTTCTTGCAATGTTTACTTATTACAACTTATTTATCTCGACTGGGAATGCAGATTAAATCCTCATGTCAAATTGTCAATTCTCTTGAATCTTTCTTCACCCCAGTCGTACTGAATGCCGGCGCGAAACATAAGGGTGTAATCAAAATTAATTAAAAGACATTAAACGGCGTCATGTTGGTGACAAAATCTGTGAAACCTATAATAAGCTACATATTTTTAATTAAACAAACGAGGATATTCATAACAGGGGACATTTCAAGCTTTAGATCACAAAGGCTTGACGAGTGTGACAGTGATAGGAAAGCATTAAGAATACTTAGAACAGCCAGACAAGGTCGCCTGACTGCCAAGTGAAGTGCCAACACTCATGCGACTTTCATCACGTTTAATCAGGGCTAAATCATTTTCAAGGTGTAATTTACTATTACGTTTGATATACGCCGAATCCCTGATTTATTGTTGTTATAGGTTAAAGCAACGAGTGTCCCTATATGTCGTGTGTCGTGTGTCGTGGGTAAAAAGTCGTGTGTCGTGGGTAAAGTCGTGGGTAAAGTCGTGGGTAAAGTCGTGGGTAAAGTCGTGGGTCATAAAATGTGCTAAAAACGCATTTTTTCATATTTTTAATTTTAATATTTTTTCGTACTTTTTCCTTTTATGCGCTAGATAAATACAGGAAAATTTAACGCAACAAATCTCCAGTAATAAAATAATTTCTTATCTTGCTGTTATCTATAGTATAACAAGTAAGCGTTTCCATTTCGTATAGTCTAATAAGTCTATAAATGTATTGTTTGATGATAAAATGTCCTAAGTTATAGGATATTAAGATATAAGTTTATTAGCTTTGGAAGTGTTCAGTAGTCCCTATCACGAACGTCGCGAATAACTACGTCGATTGCATACTGTCTTATACAAACATATTGAGCTATAAATTCTACGCTGTATAAGTGGCCAACGCTCGAGCCTCAAATTTTGCTATTTTATCTCCTAGAACAGCTAGTATATGTTCGTGGCCCTTAAAAGTGCGCGCTCAGAGCCGCTGTTATTTTGACAGAATATGATACCTCTACACTTTTCAGCCGTAATACAAATGCGCGGATTGTAATCACATATTGATGAATTATTCATATCGTTTAATTTAGCTTCAAAAACTTGTTTTGTTAAATGTAAAATGCGCAGCATGTTGCGTACATTATCAAAAAAAAAAAGGTTGACTTTATTCGACTGAAATAAGCAAGATTTCCCGTTACATACATGATTTATACCAAGGCGGCTTTGCATGTGCTCTGCCTTTGGCAACTGACTATGACACCATTGCGCTCCGCGGGAACGAACACGAATAACATGTTTTTGAAGCTAAATTAAACGATATGTATATGATTACAGTGCGCGCTGAAAATTACGGCTGAAAAGTGTAAAGGTATCATATTCTGTCAAAATAACAGCGGCTAGCGCGCTCGGTTGGCAATTAGCCCGACATCGCACAAATCATTTCGGGTTTCAATCGGGAAATCCCAAATCGTAGCAATTTATGGAATATTTCCGAACGCCACATACACATGAAATGTTTCGGTCTATACCTTTAATTTAAGGGCCACGAACATATACTAGGTCTAGGAGATAAAATAGCAAAATTTGAGGCTCGAGCGTTGGCCACTAATTATACTAGACACTGCAGCGGTAAAATTCAGTATAGCCTCATATGTTTGTATCAGACATATCGTGATATCGGCATGAATCGACATAATTATTCGCGACGTTCATGAATTGATAGGGACTATAACACTTCCAAAGCTAATAAACCTATATCCTATAACTTAAACAATACATTTATACATCAAACAATACATTTATACTCTATAGGCTTATCAGACTATACGAAACGGAAACATAATCAAACATTTACTTGTTATAGCAGGTTATACTATAGATAACAGCAAGATAAGAAATTATTTTATTACTGGAGATTTTTAAGAAATTATTTTATTACTGGAGAGATGAAGTACGAAAAAAATATTAAAAATAAAAATAATATCTTCGTGAAAAAATGCGTTTTTAGCACATTTTATGACCCACGACTTTACCCACGACTTTACCCACGACTTTACCCACGACTTTACCCACGACACACGACTTTTAACCCACGACACACGACACACGACATATAGGGACACTCTAAAGCAACGAATATCTCTTTTAAACGTTGGCAACCGCCGGAAATTAAAGCTGTAATTTGTAAAGCATCCGACTAACCATTATACTACCATCTGATTAAGTTTGGCTACTACTAAAAAGCGATGCAGCGATACAACGATATTAATAGGAACCGCAACCTGGAACTGGAACCAGGCAAAATGTATGGAAATTATCGCACTTAAAGGTACAGTTCAGCCTTTTGAATGATGGTTTTTAAGAGTGGATGTCAGCAAAAATCGGATATTTTAGCAAATTCGCGGCAACGGTCGAGAAATCGATTCCGCTCATATTTTAACTATATATAGGCCCTAATGTAAGAAATACCACTGTGTAGTTTGCTTGGTGAAATACGGCTTAGTATTCGGGAAATCGCAGAAAATACTTTACGAATTAAATTCGCTAATTTTGAGCCGATAATTTAGGTTAACTTCAACAACTTCTCGGGGCGAAACAAAATAACCCAGCGCTGTAGTATTCTCACACGAAGTTAATTGCTATCTTAATATACAACAGGTAGAGTTTCAGCCATTATTGTTCGGGTTTTTGATTTTTATTGCAGTTCTCTTTGGAATACATAGGAAGCCTCTCTCAAAATATGTTCAAAGTAAACTAATTTTTTTCTATGTGCGACGAATTTTTTTTACTAAAAAACAACCCACAATCGCCTTTAAATGGTGTATTTTGTGAATCGTTTACAATTTTCTTGGGGAAATTATTTTTCGTGATGCAGCGCGTCCCCAAAGTTGTAAGAAATTTACAAATTTTGCCTGTCGGCAAGATCAATCAATTTATATATTGTGTACATATGTAGCGTTTATAAAAGCGGCTCAGTGTTTGTATTTTAAATTAAGAACAAACTGAATGTTCTACATTGTAAAAGGAACTGACTAATCACAAACTATGTTAAATTCCCTTTTTAAATACATCGATTGACCCATATAGTATCTACTAGTAAGTGCATAATATTGGTGTCTATTTCTGTCTATCGTCAAACTCACATTTTATACGAGTTATTTCGACAAAACGAATATTTTATGTGTAATAAACAAACCGGACGTAATTCATTGACATTTTCAAAATTTTCTGTCGTTTTCAGCTACTCGTCTTTTATGCTTATCATTCCGGATACGTTATCGAGGGTTTACTAATATTAGTATAAAGATGATTCTCTTTAAATAATAGAATATTCTGATGTGTTTACCTTTGACGCCATATCATTGTAATCTAGTTCAGCAACCGCAACTTTGAACCAGTTTTTCTAGCAAATCAATGTACGGTTTTTTGAATTTGCGCTTGCCAGTGCTGTCAGTAATATTAAGTTCGAATGAAGAACAAATTTCTTGTAGCATGTAAACAGAGAATTTGGAAAGTTTTCTTTGACTTGTTAATTCACAAATATTGTGCCTATCGAACATTATTGGATGCTTCAGGCCAATTGCGTCAATCAAGGAAGCTGATAATTCTTCGATTTCTTGTCCTTTTCTCTTTTCGAAATCTTTCTTATTTAAATCGTCTTCCTCGTAGTCATTGTCATCACCATCACCCCTTTCTTCACTATCTTTATCGCCCGATGTATTTTCCCTTCTTTTTTTCGCCAATCGTGAGAAAAAACTTGCAATCTGCTGCGGTGTTAAAAAGTCGCCCTTGTTAAAAAGTCGCGAGCCGTCGCTGTTTCTTGTAGATCTCATTGCTCTTGACACATCACCCGGATCGGCTTTTCGCCCTGTTTGCTCTCCAGCATCAAACACGTCAACCAGGTACTTCTTCTGAACATCGGAAAACCGCTTTCCCTTAGTGGAAGTTCTCAAAGCCCAGCCCATCTCAAGTTCAGGGCCAATATCTGGCTCTGGCAACTCGACGCTCTCTGACTCCGTTGGTATCGGGTTTTTACTGGATCCTTCTTCCAGTTTTGTTGCATATAGCTTCATAGCCTTGTCATAAAGGGTTTCATGCTCTAGTACGTAGGTATGGTTGTCACAATGCAAATGTCTTTCTAGAGAAGAGTACCTGTGGAATGATTTAATGCAGCCTTGTTCAGGACAGAGAAATAATTTGCTGTACGTGTCGACTTTTTCATCGCTGCTTTCGTCCTCCATTGGATCAGTATTATTTTGTTCGCGAGATTTCTTTGGTTGTTGTCTTGCTTTCACTGCGACGAATGATACTGTATCCTCGGTTTCCTCGCTATGGATAAGTTTTGGTACTGTTGGGGGTCGACAGAAATTGGTCAAAGGAAGGATTTTGCCTGGACCATTATTGTATTCCATCCACACCGTCATGGACTCATTGCGGTACTCTATGTTGTTAATGAGACTCACACCATCCCATTCCCCTGCCATTCCCTTGACACCAGGTGGTGGAGCGCACACTGTTACTTTCACTCCTGGGATGCCTTCAAAGGACTCGATTGCTGCCTTCATTTGCTCGGGATTTTCGATATCGTTCCCTGAATTCAGGTATTTATTCATGTGATTTTTAATATGAGCTGCCTTTCGGTCGCACGCTCCCTTCCCCCCTTGGGGATCGGAAAAATCGATACGTCTGATTTGAATTCCAGTTGATCTCTCTATCGTTGGCAGAGAAAGCAGAGTTAATGCAGAGTGGTAGCACCCTGCATTATCTTGACGCAGATATACGGTATGCACCTCTGGTGCAATGGTTGAGAGCTGACTTAAGACGTCATGAATGATTGCAACAACAGTGCCACTATCCTGGCTACAAGACTTAAACAAGTGCAAAAAAGTAAGCACTTGGAGGTCGCCATCATCATTCTTCTTTGTTAATACCGCTATGTGCCAAGGAAGTCCCCGTTTTGCAAACCAATCTCTTTGGCTTTCGCGGTATTTGCGAGGAATGAATTTCATTGCCCAGTCTAGAACGATAAGTGCAGAATGAGAATCCAAGACTTTTAAAATGTCGTGTCGTGCTGCGTCCTGATTAATTGATCTTAAAATATGTGCTTTCCAGGATCTAATGTGTTGAGCTGCTTGTGTAGTAACGTACTCCATGTTTTCTTTCTCTTCAAGAGGGCAATTTACTTCTTCCAAAGATGTGCAAATATCAGCTAGAGTCTCAGGAAATATACTGCATCTATCACACTTTCCCTTGTGCTCATGATCACAGCTGGTGGTATAATTTTCATCATTTGGAAAACTGAGAGCATATGTTCTGCAGTGGTCCGCAACTTCAGAATTGCTAGAAATGTGAATCTAAGAAGAATATATGAATCAGATACAAAATCAACTATTCTAGAATGATTCTTACATGTGCGCAAATCTACAAAAAATACAATAAGCTTTCACTTGTTTATACCTTGTAGTCTCCTTTTAAGTAACGTTTAGCATCTTTGAGTTTTTGGTTTGTTTGTTTGGCCCATGCCAAACCCTTGCCATAACGATCTCCAAGCATGTCAACGACGTTCTCTAGATCATCAAAGGCCTGACCACCCATTGCTAGCGATATATAATCGAGGCCTTGCAACGACGTACGTGCGGAAGCAGAACAGACTTTAAGAACCCTGCGCAATGTACAGTACTGCGGCTCATCGGTTGGAAGCTCACCTCTTTGCAATATCCTTCGTACTGTTGGATACATTGTTCTGGTATAAGATTGCGCACAACGTTGGGAATCTTTATTTCTCTGTGAGTGGACAGTTTTAGTGTTTTTTTCTCCGAATGGTAAGTCTTGTATGATATGCGAGCTTGTAATAAAAGTAACAAAATGGTCGATTTTTTCCGGCTGAATGTAAACTCTCGTATTCTTTAAATGGGAGAGTTCCGCGCCCCTACCGTGAAGCAACAGATGATGTTTTGCAATATTGAAACGATATCTGGTCAAGGTTGGTATCCATTTTTGCAGTTCTTCGAAGGTGACCTTATCAACCATTATAGACAATATCTGTCTACGCGTGCTCCAATGGCTCGTGTTATTATAACACTCCGTTAAAGCATCCAATAAGAAAGTATCAATATTTTTACCACTGCCCAACTTGTCGCATGCTAATTCTTTAAGTAGCGTGGATGATTGTCCAGGAACGATTTCTTCTAGACACGCAGTAACAACTTGGCGCGCTTTGCGCATGTGAAAACGTTTTGTTCGGTCTGAAACTTCTTCGAATGGCGCTGATAAAGTATACCTGATGGGGCTAACATCTCTTGAGGTTAGAAACGCATTGAGATTCTCTCTTGGTGTAGACAGTGTAGTTGATATATCTTCTGAAATAGTCGAAGTAAAAGACGTCTCGCCACGTTTGTACAGGCTCATGCCAGTACTTCCAACGTCAAACGTTGTTCGTTCACAAACAGGTGTGGACATGTCTGGAGAGAACGTTATTTCCAACTCGTCGTCTATATTCTTATTCTGTTAAAAAATAGGCATGGCAGCGATTAGGATCATATGAGCAAATTAGAAGATAAGAATTTGTGATATCTATGGTACAGTGTTGGTGCAAGAAATCCCGTTGAGTCCCCAACCTCCCATGCACCAACCAAATTCCAGCATGCGTCTGGCGTCTTCAGTGCTCTTCCAGCACGGTGATCGCTAGATAGTATACTTCAAAATAAGGTTTCCGTTTTTATAACGTAGAAAAAACTATCCTAACTCAAAACTAAACCCTAACCCTAATACTATCCCTCACCTTAACCTAACCCTAACCTAAACCCTAACCTAACCCTAACTTATTTTAAAAATTGTATAAAAACGGAAATCTTATTTTGAAGTATACTATCTAGCAATTGCCCTTCCAGCACACATATTAGGGACCAATCATTAATTACAGGAGAGAGGCTGATGGAAATGAAAACTTAGATGTTAAAATTATGTCCCCCCCCCCCCCTTGAGGATGCAATAACAAAAGAGACATACGTAATTTAAAGTTCTTACAGTATACAATGTGAAGCCACTTTAATCATATTACCCTATATATCTTTATATATTATCTACCATTAATCGAGTCAACGGCCATTCCGATGCAATGTACATGCAATGAACCATCTCAATGAGTAAAAAATAACTACACTTATTACTTTATGTTCAGTTTAATAAATTTTAATAAATGTTGTTGTGACCTTGGATTTGAATATTTGGCATTGTGCTTACCACAGGTGTACTGCTCTCTATTTTGCACCTGTAGATTATATGATGACGGGGTCACGGGGCAGGTATTCACATTGAACAAAAATGCCCCCCCCCTTTCATGCAGAAAAATATCTGACCTCCCCTCTTTTTCACCAGCTCCCCCGCCCCGTCCCTTGTAATTAATGACCGGTCCCTTAGAAGACTGACGCTTAGTTGAAAGATTTGAAAACCATTGCAATCACTAACATTGGCTGGGACGCTTAACCTAAAATCTACCGGATAATAACCTGATGTAGAAGCTTTCATTTCCCGCCGTTTCCCACGAAAACTGAAGATAGAGTTTCAGGTATAAAATTCGACACGCAATACAAATAACATAATTCAAACTTACCAGTGTTAACGCATCCATTTGATCGATAACACTCTCTGCTTTATGCGGACTGGTTAGCACTAATGCTCTTAACTTCTTACATGTTGAACAAATACCTGGATAAAACAACACATAGAAAATTCAAGAATCAAGCTAGTAATTATGTTATCAACAGAAATCAACTTGAAACTATTCAACCACTCTTACCTGAACCAACCTGCAAAAATATACCAGTCATCTTTAATATTAACTGCGAATCGTCCTTATTTATTCCTCTATCGCACTTTGGCCACTTTCCGTTTGCTTGCCTGTGACTTGACAGTGCAGCGGGTACCCTACACCTTGCATTATTGCCTCTG